AACAATAATAAAAAAAAACAACCCACAAAGTCCCAGCTAACTTCACAAACAAAAGACCTGCAAAAATGGAGACAATCTGAAGGGTTTGGCTCCAGAAGCAGCTCATTGTGATAATCTATAGCTTTGTGTGCTTTTCTTCTTCCCTTAATATTTGTTAAAATACTTTTTTTTTTTAAATCTAATTTTTTGTCACAAATTGAGACCCTTTCATTTAGAAAATTTCAAACTGGGATCTTTTAATAATTCCAAATCTTATTTCACAACCATTTTTCAAACAAGCGGCCATCAAAGCTCACTGTTGCACAAAGAAATCAGTGTCACTCACTCAGTCTGCTTCTGGCAGGGGAAGGAAGAAAAAAAAAAAAGAAAAAAAAAAAGAGAGAGATTAATTCAAAAAGTTCCAGCTGTCCCAGAACCCCGGACAGGGCTGGCTTTTTATGGTAACCCAAACAGTTTTCAGCAAAGCCAGTTTCAGTTTTGTCAGTAAACCGGCTTGTGTTTTCTACCCCATCTAGCCCACGACCGTGTGTAAGCTGTCCTCGGCGGCAAGGAGGGGGCTGCCTCCCGCGGGGCTGGGCTCCCGCTGATGCCATGCTGAGTCGGCAGCCCTGGTCTTAAGCTTTTTTTTTTTGGTGGGTTGGTTGATTAGGAGCACATCCAAAAATACCAATCAACAGACACAGTGAGTTAATAAAAATTATCCTATATATGGGTGTTTGTGGGGTCAGAGCCTCTCTTTATTATCAGTTATACAAACCATATTAGAGGACACGTACACTTGCCTGGGTCTTCCTCCAGCAAATACCACGTACAGGTAACTCTCACAGATGCTGCTGCAGGAAAAATATCATTAAATATATGACAAATGCCCCATAGATGGGATAATGTAGCCTAAGAAAAGCTGCACATGGTCTTTACCAAATACTCACGTAGAAATTGGAGCATGCACATACTGCAAGGGGCCAAACATGCTGGCCCGTGCCCAGGAAAAAGCACAACTGCAGGCTCCATTCAAGGCAGGAGGCTCTAGCAAAGACCCTTCAGCCTTTCCCTAGGCCCATCCCTCCGCAGAGATAAAGCAACTGATCCTCATTTGGATGACTCATGTGCTTAACTAATTGGCTAAATGGGGGCCAGACCTCTGGTTCCCTCCTGCCCACATAGTTTGCTGAGCTGGGACCAAACCCAGACAACCGCAGTGTGTCCAGCTGGGCTTCGTCTCTTCCAGCTCTGCACAGATGTTTAATACTCCGTTTGCTCATGCAAAGATGGTGCTTTTTTCCCCCCCACCAGATTTTGCCTTCAAAACTCGGCAGATCCATAGCCAACCCAACGTAATCGATAGCTCTTGGTCCCTGGCAGCGCTGCGGGCGATAGAGGCGTGCATGACCACGGCACGCTCTCCTGCGATGCCTGCGTGCCCTTGGCTGCAGGTATTGTGCAGGCTTTCCCCCTCCAGCCCAAGTTCACTCTACCTTGGTCTGTATTTCCTAGATACAGGCGAACAGTGGAAAAACATTTCTTCCTAACTCCCATTTCACATTTGGGATTCACTATATTTTGAGACAGAGGGAAGGGGGAAATGACTTTCAAGGCGTCTTAGCGCAATTTTATTCCTGTTCCCAAATAGGTATAATATGAAAAATTAAATCAGCCTTCAACATGGTATGGATGGCCCCAGGATATGGCTGAAGTGATGTCAGTCTACAAAACATATCATTATGTGTCATCGTTTCATGTCATTGCTTATTGATTTAATTCCATCATATTTCAGGCAACTTTTATTGTCTAGGTACAGATCATCATATTAATAACTGGAAGCACGTATGCAGATATCAAAAACACCTCCTGCCACTAAACCAATTTTTAAAATGAATCCAAGAGAAATATTTTAACAGAAACCCCTTCCAGAAGCAATTGTTCCAGGGACAAGAAAGACCGGACGACTATTTTTCTGGTTCCAGTGTTACATATATTGTCATTTCATATCAAGATTTCTTTTTTTTCTTTTTGGTCTTTTTTTTTTTTTAACAGGAAAGATTGATAAGAAAAGGAGGAAGTCAACACTTTCGAGAACAAGATGTAGCTAAATATTGTATCTAAACACATGCCCTCGAATGTGCATTATCATACATTCAACTTTGCTGGGGAACATTTTGGAATATGAACTGAATAATGTGGATATTATAAAATGGCTGTCTTGAAATTAAATTTTAAGATATTGATGTGTCATAATAATAAAATAGAAAACACTTTTAATATCAACAGTGAGCTCCATCATCCTTTTTTTTTATTATTAGTTTGTGGTTGGTGCTTTTCCTACGCAGAAAGCTTGAAAACAAAAACGTACACTGCGAAACCTGCAAACGATTAAAGACTTGTACACAGCGATGCCTCCTGAAGGAGTAAGCCCTAAGCCCAGCATTATCTTTGTAGCCAAAGTTGGGCATGCATTAAATAATTAGCTTAATCAGCTCCTAGAAATATGTCTGTGGTATGAAAGAGAATTCAAACAAAAGACTTCTGTGAAATTTATCTTGGAAAAAAAATACAGGGTATTTTATTTTAACAGTCTTTTTGAGATAATCAGGTATCTCTTAAAGATATCTCCAAAAATGGGTGTTCTCTGTATTTACTTATTTTCCTGTGCTTTATCTTTTTTTTTTTTCTCTTTTTTTTTCTTTGTTGGCTTCTTGTCTCTCCATCGCTGCAGATATTTCTCTGTGTTCACTCGCGCATTGGACTGCAAGATGGGAAGATCCTGCAGCACCATAAATTTTCAGCCCGATCCTGCAAGAATAGATTTTGGCTAAAGCAGGCTATTCACATGCTCCCTTAACAAGCTCCCCAGCGATGCTGCGTCCAGAGGACCCAGCTTCCAGGAGCGCTATCAAACGCCGAGTCCAGCTGCACCGCAGGCTCAGGGTATTTTGTCACACACGTCCCACAGGCAGCCTGGCCCCCAGGGCCACCTCAGGGGGTCCCTGCCAGCGGCTCGTGGCTGGCCACCCTTTCCAGCCCTCTCCCACAACATCCTTTACCCGGTAATTCCCAGTGCTGCAAGGAAATGCCAGGCTGAAGTCAACACAGCCTCCCTAGCCATAAGTCTGGGAGTCTCTCCCAAGGAAGCCGATGGGAGTTTTCCCACTAGTTTCATTTTCCTCTGGGAAAGGCTTGCCTAGCCAGGGATGATGTCCCAACTAAGGCTGAGTATGAACGTAAAACAGGGTCCCCAGAGTAACTGCCTACAAGGTTGTCTCTAAAATGTACTCTTGCAGATTTCTTTATATCCAAATGCCACTTTCTATATAAAGTTTAAGACGCGGATATCTCTAGACTCCCCAGCCCAGGCAAGACCCCCTCCAAGGTCTCATTCAAGAAATTATTCAACATGTGTTTAAGGTCAAGCCCCTGCACGATTCCTTCCACCCTCAGCAAGCCCCCCAGACAGGCTTCGATTAAAGCAGGCACTAAATGCACTGCTGGGTTGAAGCCTGAAAATGTTTGGAGGATCAGGGATTAAAATACAGCAAATTATCTCTGGAGCTTCCAAAGCCAAGTAGACCTGAGCAAAGTCAAATGGAAATGCTAACTCTATTTTCATTTTAAATAAATGGTGGAGGCTTCAGCATTAGCTGAGATACGCTGTCTCCTCCCAGGGAACTAACAGACAGGGAAGAGCAAGGCTTTAAATGATTTATTCAGTACCCTGGAGATTTTTTTTTTTATTTTCTTTTTCGTTTCCACATAAATTACACAAGCACTTTATAAAATGAATACACATAAACCACCTTATAAGTGCATAACTTAAAAAAAAAACAAACGAACGAATGCCTTTAAAAATCTCACTGAAAATAGGTTTTCTGATTGCTTGTTTGTACTAGCTGCTTAAATTGGCAGTGCTGTTTTAGATTATAAGTAACTGAAAAATATATACTGTATATATATATATATATTCCTGGCATTTGCTATAAGAAGTGCTTTGTTTAATTGTGTCTCATTCCCTCAGTACAATTAAAGAAACAACTAAGTTAAATGGTTGAGAGTGAAATCGATTTTTTGCCATCAGGAACTGCCTTCTAAAGGGAAACAGGTAAAATAAAACATTGGACAACATTTTGCAAATGATATGGAAATAATCCATGGAAAGAAACTGCATTACCCCCGCAAATTGCCACCAAGGTCTTCTCGTTATTAAAATACACGCTGATGGGCACGGAGTCCGTGGCAGCCGGGGACAGTTTGGGCTCTTCATACAATTGAGATATCATATTTACCGTCCTCAGGAGTCTGTCAGATCCTTCTCTTATTCCCCCCTCGCAAGAAAAAATTAATGAAAAAGGGGAGGAGAGACGGCGAGGTGAGATCCGAAGGGTTCCCATCTGGCGCAAGCAGAAATTGCTGCTGTTTCCTCCATTTGTTGCATCCCCGAACGTCCCTGGTGCGAACGACCGGAGGAGGCTCACGGCAGAGACGCGCTTTCCAGGGAGCCTCCTCCTTTTGTTTCAAGCCATCAGTCTGAGGTGTGTGTGTGTATATATATATATACACACATGGATATATATGGGTGACCCCAGGCGTCGCACCACCACCAGCAGAATCTGAAGGAAGTTTTCTCTCCCCCGGCTGGGTGAACGCCAGCGGCCCTGTCCGTCAGGGCTGGGCTTTTTGTCTGGTAGCACATCAGCAAGTTCACGGTCAGCACTGGAGACTTTCAAGAGAACAAAAGGGCTGGGGGAAGGCAAGACACCACCGCTGCTCCAGCAACCCCACGGGTGGGGAGAGTTTTTGGGGTTGTTTCCCTTCCTTTTGGTCCTTGTGGAGGGTTTCCTCGGCCAGGCACGTGGGATGCACGTGTGGCTGGAGGACTGCGGGGTGCCAGCCTTCCCCGGAGGACTGCGGGGTGCCAGCCTTCCCCGGGGACAAACAGGGATGCCACGTGTCCCATCGAGGACAGCCCCGCTGGCAGAAGGTGCACGTGCCACCGGTGGGTGCCACCCTTATTCACAAGCGGAGGCAACGGTGGTGACGCTGGTGATCTTGGTGGAGTCGTCAGACCAAGGCTGGAGATTCTGGAGGGCAAAGAGAGAGGAGTTGTGGACGCAGATGGGGTCGGCTTGGATGGGCTGGTTGATGGTTTTTTGGAAGGCCTCCTGCTGCAGCTGCATGAGGATGCGGTTCGCTTGCTGCCGCTCGGCCTCCCGCTCCTCCGCCGTCTGCCTCCTAGGAGAGAAGGAGCGGTTAGGGGGGTCTGGGGGAGCAAAGGAGGAGTATCTCCAGAGAGAAAGGGTTGCGGTGGGTGCTTAGGGCTGAGGGGTAGGAAAAGGGGTGCCTAGCCACAGCATCGCCCCACATCCCCTGCACAAACTGCCAGTAATGCCATAAACTGGAGACTGGGGCTGTCTATCTTACTGGCCCCAGCAAAAATTGCTCCGATCAGAGAGCCGGGAGCAGCCCACAGCTCTGGTTTATTTTCTGCCCACGGGAAAAATCCAAGCAGAGCCAGAACACCCAAAGGGGCACAGGACAGGGCTGCAAAAGGCGCGATTCCCTGCGAACGTGCTCTGTGCCCAGCAGCGAGAGCCAAGCGCACAACATCCCAGCGAGGAGCGTGGGGCAGGAGCGAAGCGAGGCATCACCAAGTGGCAGTGCCACGCGGCTGGGAGGTGGGCAATGTCACCCTGGGCATCGCCTTCCCTGTGCCCAGGCCTGCCATCTCCTCTGATGGTCTGCGGTGGCCAGCTGATGAGAGTCTGGACGAAGGCGACAACACACCCATAGCAGGCAGGGCAAAAATCACCAAAATGTCGGCTGAAGACTAAAAACACGTTTTTAGCAGTGAGAAGAATCAAAGCCCAGAATAAACTAACTGGGCAGGGTGAAGGAGGATATTTTTAAGAACAGGTTGGACACGCGTCTGTCTGGAATGACACCAGCAGAGCTGATCCTGCCGAGGGGGAGATTAGGGGGCCTGCAGGGGTCCTTTCCAGCCCTGGTAGGGTCCCAGCTCCAGGCTGTCTGGGAGGAGGGGATGGGATAGGTAGGAATGGCCTAAACACACTTAAAAGCACAATGAAAATCCCACCCACCCCCTTGCTGAGATGGCGGGTCAGTCTGGAAAACCTGGGGGCAGCTCACAGTGCCGGTCCCAGGATGATCCCCAAAGCACCCCCTCCCTCGCTCACGCCCCCGGGCCCATCCGATGCTCTCCCAGCAGCTTCAGTAGATCAGTGACAGGGGAAACGGCAGCTTTTTAATTTAGCAGCTCAGAGGGACGTGAGATGTCTCATCCTCTTTGGCTGCGGGGATTGGAAGTGGCAGCTCTGAGCTCCATGGTGACACCTCAGAGCGTGGGGTGGGGGGGTCCCTGGCTCCCCACCAGGGAAGCGGGTGAGGGCTAGATGTGGGCAACGAACCTCTGGGGCACCCGAGCCTCCAGGCATGTGGCCAGGGCTCCCTCCCGGGAGCAGGGAGCTCAGGGCTCAGTCCCTGCTCTAATCACTGTGTCAACATCTCACGTCAGACATCCCGGGGAGAGGGGGCTCGGAGCAGCACCGGCCCTCCCCACGCAACCCGGGAGCGGCTCCGTCTCTGCTTCAATGAATATTTAATGACTCCCTGCACAATGCAGAGATGCTCCGGGAGGAGGGAGGGAGCCCCACGTCCAGGGCGGTCAGGAGCACAGTGGCTGTGAGCACCCGGCTCCCAAATATCTCCCTGCTCCAAGCAGCTGGCCCATTCATGCATTCATGTCAGGCTGGGATTTGCAGTTCAAATCTGCCTGGAAGGAACTAAACGTCGATGTCCGTGTCTCAAGCAAGAGCTCAAATCTGAGGAGGGCATCACGCAGCCACCTCACTCCAGCAGAGACACCCAGGCAAGGGGCAGAGGCCAGGCTCTCCCCACAACTTGCCTTTAAGCAGTTAAATCCCTTAAACAGCTTAAAAAAACTCTCTCTTCTCAGATATTCCCCACTGCCTGGCTCACACGGTGCCTGCGAGAGGCTCCCTCCAGCACCCGGTGCTCCAGGCACTGTTTGCAGCCGCCACTGCTGCACAGGGACCCGGGGCAGCCAGGCGTACCCTCATCTCTGCCGCAACGCCCAACGTGCACAGATGCGAAGGAGCAGAGCTTACAAGCCTGAGTCCCTCTGGCTCAGGCTGGTGGGGATTCTCCCGTGTCTAATACTATGGCTGAGGTCAGGCTGCAGCCCTTCCCTTAGGCAGAACCAGGATTTTGTTTCTCTTTACCCAGCTATTTTTTGTCAAACATATGAATAGGTTTGTATCCTCTGCTCCTTTGCCAAAGGGGGCTGAACTTAGCCAACAGACGCAAAGAGTATTGACAGACAGACGGAGAGCCAGCCAAGCCACATTTGCCTCACTTCCTTAGGAAACCAGGTTAGAAGACATCGCTGACCCCGTTTCGCAGGCCGCGGCAGGACTGTTCCTCCTCCAGGACTCTGCTCCTGGTTAACGGAGATCGCTCCAGCTGGAGACTTCCTGGCACTTGGGGAGCTGCTCCTCCACAGGCTCTTTAGGGAAGGACTCCCCGAGAGAGGGATTCACCCACACCCGTTGTTTCAAGTTCCTCGTCCCCCATTTCTTACCCAGCCCCTGCATCCCCAGGCAATCACTGGCCCATTCACCCTCGGGGAGACCCAGGGGAAGCCCTTTTACCCCACCTTGAAGAAGCTTCTGCCTGCCTGCACCCAAGTGCCCGGTGCTCAGCACCCAGCAACACCCCCCTCGTCTGAACCCCCAGAAGAGCTGCCCTTGCCCAGGTCTCCCCCGCAGTGTGCCTGTCCCCGGACTGGGGATGCTTCCAGGACTGGGGTGCCTCCCCCGGGGACACCCCGGGAATTTACAGCTTGGGAGGAGCAGGGGCACAGCAATGGAGCCCAGGAGCCTCCATGTCAGCCCGGCCTCCTCTTCCTCTCCTGCCCGGCTTTACCGGCACGACGGGGAAAAAAAAAAACAAAACGGCATTTTGGCAAGGAGGTGCTATAATCCCCACGGGGGTGAAAATTTTTGCGTTATGCAGGGCCTGATATCCCAGAAGCCTCGGGTGCAGAATCCGGCCCGAGCCGCTCCCCAATGGGGCTCGCTGCCGCCCCGGGCTGGGGGCTCCCGCAGGCTGCTGCCGGGGAAAGAGGCGCCGGAGCTGCTGCACCCACTGGGCCCCTGGCAATACTGCCTGCACCCACCGCACGTCCCCCCTCATGCACATGTGTATGCACACACGCATTCATCCACATCGCATATGTGCACACCGACTTGCACGTACACCCCGTGTGCTCACACAGCGCGCACACACACACAGAATGCACGCTGCCTGCATGCACAGCGCACACATCCATATGCACGTCTGGCTTGCACACATACCCGCATGTATGCTCACGCACAGGCACGCACGCATACACGCTGCATGTGTGCACAGCCTTCACACAAAAGCATTCACACACACCATGCAGAGTTATAAACACATGCCCTGCTTGCACGCACACCCGTAGGCGTGCACACACTCACACTGCATGCACAGATGAGCTCAAGCATGTGCACACACGGCGTACACACACACACCACATGCACGTTCATCCCCGCCAGTGGCTGTGCGTGCACACATGCGCTCCCACACATGTATACACGCACATTCACATGCACACACACGCGTGGCCCCCCCCACGTGTGCACTAGCAGGGCTCGCACCCCCACGCGCAGCCACCAATGCCCGCGGCAGAGCCGGCGGCAGCAGGGCCTGCTCCCCCAGGGCTGCCCCAGCACCTTCCCCCCGGGTCCGCCGAGCCCCCAGCCCCTCACCTCCACTTGGTGCGCCGGTTCTGGAACCAGGTCTTCACCTGGGCGTCCGTCATCTTGAGGGCCTTGGCCAGGGCAGCGCGCTCGGCCGAGGCCAGGTACTTCTGCCGGTGGAAGCGCTTCTCCAGCTCGCAGATCTGCAGGCGGGTGAAGGAGGTGCGCGGCTTCTTCTTCTTGGGGGGCGTGCGGTTCTGGTAGGGGTGACCTATACGGCGTGTTACAGTGAAGGGTGAGAGGGCCACTGGGGGGGACACGGGAGGAGGGGGATGAGAGGCAAAGAAGCAAGCAGCGACACATCAGCAGAGGGGCTCCGGCTCCCGGGCGCTGGGCTGGGGACCCCCCCGCTGCGAAGCCGCCGTTTCCCCCCCGACACC